GCTTCTAAACAGAATAGCGAAGTCTCAAACTTTTTTTTAAAAAATCAGAGATAATTAAGGACAATTTATATTATTGAATCAGCTTATTCGTTTCGGCTGCAAAATTGAAAACCTTTGATGACAACTCTCAAAAAACTCAAAAACAAAAAAGTTCAAAAAAAACTCCAACACATGTTGCGTTTGAACCATATAAGTTCCCTTCACGCACGTTTTATTTCTAACAATCAGCCAATTTCAACATTTCAGTTTTGATAACTCTTGGTGCTAATTTAGCATCCAGTGACGTAAATCAAACCAATTAGCATATTATCAAAAACTAACTTTAAGTCTTTTGTTTCCATTCGTATCAAGTGACTTGAAGTTGAAACCAATTGGCATACTTTCAATACCCTCAACTGTTATTATTTCTAAAGCGTTTGCGTCGATAGTTTATTTTAATGATTTTTATTCTCTATTCTCCAAAACAAAAGCAGTTCTAACGCCATTTTGTCACCAAAACCCAAGAGACTCTTTGAGACAAAAACATCATCTGCCAGTTTTTAAAAGTTTTTAGTAAAGTAAAGCTCTTCTGTTCATCTCTCAGAAATCAATTTTTCTCAGTTGCTTACTAATCAATCCCTCAACTAATGAATTTTAATTACATGATCGAAAAGTTTTAACTTCTTGCCTAAATTCATTCACTGATCTAAACTATGTTATTTCAGATCTTTGATAATAACCTAAGGATCTTCTAACAAACTCTCCTCCCATAGCACCTACCTAAGAATACGCACGTTTTTTTACTAAAAACAGAGAATAAGCACTAGTGTTTTCTATTGAGAGTTCTAATTTTGAAAAATCAGATCTGGAATAGAAAGTTTGAGATTTAAAATAACCATGAAACACAACACTTCAGATCTGAAGTTAGATCCGACACAACATTTAATAAATTATAAAAAAGAATTCGAGCAAACAACTCATTTCGACATTTCTACAGCTTTTCCAATTATCAATTATAATAAGATTAATTAGCGGTAAAAAAACTACCAAATAATGAAACAAACAATTTTTTAAATAATTTTTTGTTCAACTGCTTTACAAATTGTAAGAAGACTTTTAAAAAATTCCGATTTTCGTGCGCTACTCATGCCTTATCCGATACGTACGTAGCAAAAACTAGATACATCTAAAAGAGGACACTTCCTTAAGACGACAATGGTATACTAATCAAATAAAGTTGGGATAAAAAAATAAATAAACAAAATAAATAAAAAGTAGATGTTTTACTTGCATTTCTTTTTGTTCCGACCAATGAACATGAGGAGGAACTTTGGAGTTGGATGTTTTAGTTTTTTTATTTTTTTTGCTTTCCACGCAAAATCTGTTACCCTAAATAATCATCGGACGGACTGGGTTGAGTGATATGTCATATTAAAGCCCTATCAGTCGTGATTCAAACAATTTTAGAAATTTTCTAAAAATTGTTCCCAGTGTTCAGAAAAACCGGTTTGAAATTTGAGTTTTCGTCAATTTCGAGCGAATGAGCAGGCTTACATTAGCTTTATTTGTGATTATTTTAGGCGTTAAAATTTTAATTTTTCTCAAATGAAAGTAGTTTTTAGAGTTTTTAGCAAGGAATCAAGTTTTTAGATTGAATGTTTCTTTTTACTTTTTGACGAGTATGAAATAAAAGTTGTCTACTTTTTGGCCAAACTCCATCCGATATTTGTCTCAAATTTTGGGAAACATATTTCAATAATCTCCGATGTGAAACAAAACTGAGTAAATTTCATTAATATTTTTTAACCAAATGCAACCGAGAAAAACAAAGTTTCTTTTCTGAAGTTATATCTGAAATAACACATTCTGAATGTATCAAAGCAGTTTTTAACGTTTCGCAATCCATTTTAGATTCAAAATTTAATCTGAAAAAGGTTCATTCAGATCTGAATTAAAACTTTTACTAGGTAGGAAACCCAAAGTTAATAGAACGAGCCAGCGTAGAGCAGCAGCAATCCAATGGATAATTCTGGATAGATCTGAAACAGCACTGAGTCAGTACTGCAACAGCACTTTAAAATTCTATCAGCAATCTTCTTGGATATTTTTTGATCAGAATTGCAGGACTCAAAAACACCACCGATACAGCAGTGAACCAAATTAGTACTGGAACAGCAGTGCAATTTCTTCTTCTGGTTTTACCCCTGATCAGAGGAAATGTGCAGTACCATTTCTATACATGGTCTTAATGATGTAGATAAATGGTCTTAATAATAATACTGCTGCAAAAACTGACCACTGCTGTACGGGCTGACCTAAAATGCCTGTCAAACTATTTTTAAAAATCGATAAATGATTTTTATACAGTTTGTATAACACCGGACGTACAGAAGCCAAACATTGCATAGAGACTCTGTTCTCGACAGTTTTTTTCCAACATAAAAATTAAATAACTATAGCATTTTTTCCAGAACAATCTATTCAAGTTTCGCATTAATTTTTTGTGTTTTTTATTCAAAAACACAATAACGAAGTTTTCTTTTTAAAAAAATCCTTTAAGAAGCAAGAATTGCACAGATGAACTGCATTCAACGATTCTCCAAGAAGTTCAATGGAGCGTACAGTGCTGATTTAAATTAACCGAAAGAAAACAAAGATCATCGGAAAATTTAAGTCGTTCTTCTCAAATTGGCTTAAAATTATACAAAAACTTTTAAACGCAGCAACCAAAATTCGATCTGCAATCCAAATTTTACGCCATAAAAAAGGTGAATTTGGCTTTATTTCTGTTTCATCAAAACTTACGCTGAAGCTATCTGATCAATTGACGAGAAACTTATATCGAAAGAAGCCACTTATGCAGCCCAACAAGGCTCTAGATGAGAAAACCTCCAAAAATATGCACAAAATTTCTGAAATATGCTTTCAGGAAAAAATTTTGAATTTCTTATGTACAAAAAAAAGAGTTTTTTTTCTATCAGGCAAAAATTAGTTCTCTTATAAAGATTTTTTTAAAAAACTGCACCATAATAATTCTGGCAAAATTATTGTCCAGTTCACTTTTTGTCTAATCACAACCCAGTTTGAGAAAAACGCCTTTGAAACTTCAAACTTCGCTCGTTTTGTCCGGATAACTCAAATCCGCACTGTATTACCAACATTAAAAATCACGAAATAACAACAATGCTTTTTTTAAATCAAATTTAGTGGCTAAAAACCGTGACATAGTATTTTTAAGTGCCAGTAAAATATAGCATATAAAAATAGTAGATGAGAGATTTGACTGCCGCAAAAAAATCAGGGAAAAATAAGCTAAGTTTTTTTTCCATAGAATCCATCTACGTAATTGTATGACAAGCATTTTTCCTGTATGGAATTAAAAATAAGCAAAATATTTGTTTGCTGTCAACCCAGATGGTTTTTACTGGCATATCATGAATCTTGGAGACAAAATTATCAAGGTTTCGCTGAACAAGAAGGTTTTATTATCTTCCTCGCCTTGTGAATGAGATAAAAAATTATGAAACAATCGCTTCATGCATACTCAATCAAAAGTTGCTAGAAACTAACCAATGCTAAAATTAGCAAATTCCAAGAAAAAAACAATAACTTTTCTTTTCTTGGCATGAACTTCACAGACTAAAAATTAATCTAATTTTCAAATAATAAATTTTTTGATGCTCTATAAGTTGTTTCTTCGAACTGCATTTGAAGCAACTCTTTATTCAATGGAAAGTTTTACAGCTTTATACTGAGTTGAAAGTTGTGATAGTAGTCAACGTAAAATTTTCATTGTTTAATTGTCAAGTTTAATAGTCAGTGTAAAATGGTTTTCAAAGGTAGTTCAAAAATGCCTGAAAAATTGTGATAATCTAAAACTTGGCGTTATGAACACTTTTGTAGATAAATACTTGGTATTTATCTATCCCTATAAACAAAAGCAAAAAAATCCACTAACATTTTGCGGAATCCACTCACAGTTGCGGAATCCAGAACAACTAACTAACTATGTTTGATTGCGCAACAAATTAAATGTGCCGACAAAATTTACTATACAATTATATGTACGGGGAATCCAGGTAAATCTTGTAAGTGGAATTCACTTACAATTTGGAACATGTTCAAATACTTATCTCTGGAATCCAGGAACATATCGACACAAAAAAATGTGCACCTATCCAGTGCACAGTTTGGCCTCGTAATGTTCTTCGAAAGTCGGAACAATTATCATTAGAGCCTCCTATTTATGAATCAAATTTTGCTGCATTCTGATTGATCGAACTGATTGATTGATTCGTCTACCTTAAACTTTAAATTATTTCCACCCTCCCCCACCCTTTCTTTTGAAAAAGAGAGGAGGGTGTCATTGTTAATAGATTAATAGATCCCTTTTTTGAATACATTTTTCATATATGTTAAGAAATAATTGATTTACCAATTTTTCGGCGTCATATGAAAAACTTTAGATTCATAATTAAATTTGGAAATTCCGATCATGCTTGAATTAAGAACATATGAACATTAAAAATGGCGAGATGTGCTCTAACAAAGTTAGTTTAGCGGAGAAATTGACTTTTTAAGAAAACTGCAAATAAGTGCTCGAAGAATCTACAACTATTCTCCCAAAAGGCAATGTATAATTGCAATGAAGTGAAATTGGACAAAATTCAGTAGCGGATTGGACTGGAAATCAGTAGGGCGGTGGGCGGAAGCTCCTTCCCTCTCTGGGATTTGACCCCCCCTTCCTGCACAAAGGGTCCCCCTCTAGTACTAATTTCAGACCTCCATTTTTGGCTGATCTACTCTAAAAGTTTTCTGAAGGTGCCTTTGGCGCCAATATATAGTTTTTTGGGATAAGAGCGCGCGCCGAAAAAACACAAATTTTTGGTCAGACTTCAAAAAGTGACTAGAACGCCTTTTTTGGCCTGTTTTTCAAACGGTGGTGCAGAAAATTTGGTCAAAGTTGGGCCTATATAGGGATTTGGGTGAGCTCAGAAAATCAATTTGCTATCGACCTAAAATCTGCATCTGACCAAATTACTTCTTTTTATAAAATTTAGAAACAAAAATTGGCAAGTGAAGTTGCTGCAGCTGTTTGTTTCTAATAAAATGCCTACTTTCAAGGTCACAGAGTATGAAAGTAATGTAAATGCTTCACACAGTTTGGATGGCTGACCATCTTATCAGTATTTTTGTCTGATTTGATGAGTTTTGGTGCTGATCCATTAACAAGGGGTACTGTAGGCTGACTAAAATTAAGCGTCTTAGGGGTACCACCTAGTGTTTTTCTGCATATGGACTTGGAACATAAGCGTTTTTGTTTTTCGATCAATAGTTCTGAATGATTCAAGAATGATTCGGTGCGGCAATATTTTCCAAAACATTGAATATAGTTTTGATGAGTCACAGGCGGCAATCAACAAGATGGGTTGTCTGCTGGCGTCTCGGATGTTTGTGGTGTTCACGCAGCTGCGGCTGTTACTGCTGCTGTTACTGCAGCTGTGCCATCTTCTCCCTCAGGTGTTGTCTGTACATATGGATGCATATGGCATAATAGGTGGCATAGGCCACGTTGAAGATGAGGAACGCAATTGGGAACAAATACCTAAAAAGTCAACACCCTTCTTTTTTCACTTTGAAAAGTCAAAGACAAACGCTGCATCTTTCTTCTTGTTTTTGAGAAATCTTCAAAATAAGAAGCCGAATTGAATCATTAAACTGCACAATATGATTTAAACTTCTAAGGCCACCCCTTCTGTTATTTTGTCGATAGACGATAGCGCCTCATCTTCCATTTGGTGTTGTATGAGATGGTTAAGCCCCCCTGTTGATCTTGCTAACCTGGACACTTTATCGACAGTGCGAGGGACCTCCTTCACCCGAGCCTCAATCATTCGGTGTGCAAGGTTGGCTAGTGTCAGTTTGCGTGTACGGGGTGGCCTGTCTGCGGCTCCCCCAGCTTCACCTCCCGGTGGTTTGGCAGATCCATTGAGGGGTTCGTTCTCCACAGCCATGCCCTGTGACTCTGACCGACGAGCGTGGGCTGGAAAAAGAGCGTTGACAGCAGGTCTTCCCGAAGTCAAACCTAAAATGTGTTCATGATTGAATGGAGCGCCGAAAAGCCAGCCTGTAGAATGTGAGGCGACCCCACAATTCGTAACAAGCCACAACTGGTAACAAATGGCTATTAGATTATGCAAAGAACACTGATGCACGCGCAGTATTCCTCTCCTGCCGGATGTAAGCTGCGGAGCATGCGGAGCAAGCGGAGCAAGCGCATTCTACTTGTTAATGCCATGCTACGAATTGTCGCCTTATCACTTTAAAATGGTCTCAAAAATACAATTATTGGTTGTTTCGTGAAACCATACAAAAAATAGGACAAAAACTAGAGCAGTCAATGATCATACGTTGACCGATACGAACATATCTGGCAATCACATTCAGGGACAGATTTACGGGGGGTGGGGGCTCATGCCTTTTTCCTCAGGGATTCGACTCCTGCCGACCCAAAGAGTCCCCCTTTGTCCTATTTTGAGATATCTATTTTGGCTGACGGACCCTAAAATTTTTCTTAAAGGCGAAGTTTGAGCGGCGACGCCCTCCGAAAAAACGCTATTTTTGGTCAAAAATTTTCCAAAAAGTGTCCTAAAACGCTTTTGTGGCCTATTTTAAGTTTATTTTTAGTGCTTTGCGAGAGCTCGGAATACCAATTTGGTCGACCCTAAAAAAGTCCACAAAATAATCGAATTTTTTTTGAAAATCCGCCCCCACCCCTTGAGAAAATCCTAGATCCGCCCCTGGTCACCTTGATTTCCTGGATAGCTGCGGTTAATCACAGAGAGGTGAAAGAAATGGGAAACAAGAAAGAAGTGCGACAAAAAGCGATACAATCTCAAACTAAACTTACCAAGTTGAAAGTCTGATACAGCAAATGTATTTTTGAGGTGGTTAAAACTATCAAAAAACCGATGACAGCGTGATGTTCCATTATAAAATCGAGAAGTTTGAAACTTAATGTCTTTAAAAATAACAAGGATATCTTAGAATAAAAAGGTCAAAAAACATAACAAGGATAACTGGTCGGATGCAAGTAAAAAGTAGGACAGAAGCAAAAAAAAATGAAAACTTTCGAAAACAATTTTTTTTGGAGATCATCTGTCGATTTCTAGACAGTGAGAGAAGACTTAAGTTAAAGCTGCTGCAAGACGTTAAGAGTCAAATATCAGAGCCGATATTGGCTTTTTCTTAGGAGCAATTTTTGAAAGAAAAAAAATAGCTCCTTTTATATGCCGGCCACCTTCGGGAGGTCAGAGATCTCATGCCTGATGGGGAGCGATGATATCCTTTTTAATATGCTAGGGCGTTTGGAGCTGGGAGGGGGAGCGTCTGGTCGAGCATCCCAAACTAATTGAAAGCAGTCTTGAATAATAAACTAACTTGAGATGAGTTGGACCTGTTATCGCATTGAGTAATTTCGGATGAAGTTCACTGTATGCTTTCCACGCTAATTTTACAGCCGGATGGTTTACCGCGGTTCGTCAGTTCGTTACTGAGTTTAATTCTACCCTTATGCCCTGCTTTCAAAAGATTTGTACCTGGAATAAACATGAGTTCGACTTTATTCTAGTCATTTCTATGTTGGTCGTCGTCACATGGAGTAGTAACAGTAGTCACTTAACAATAAGTTTTCAGAAATAAGTTAGGGATTTTGATTGTTTAGTAAAAAAAACTTTATAATCAAATTAAAAATTGAAAGCATAAAAGAGGAAATGCGAACGAGTTGCTTCCATCCGGGGTCTGAAAAAAGTTCTAAAATATACAATACATTATGAAACTTCTAGAAAAAATCAGTTTCGGGTTGGATGAAGTGTTTATATCTTATGAAGACGTCGTGGTTCCATAGATCTGATTCTAAGAGATTATTGCTGTTTGATGTGTTATGAGTATCCTTGACTCGGCCAAAGAGCTGCTTCATGTGTTCATACGATTTTTTCTAGAACTTTGCATCGTAGAATATTTGTCGAATAGTGCATGAGACACTTCCAGCGCTAGAGACTTTGCTTAAGTTTTCAAGAGGAGTTTGCGCATCATTGGCTGTTTTCTATGATAATTGTCTACACTTCCTTGACGTACTTTTTTGTGATTCGCCTCGACATCAAATTTTGACGCTCTCACTCAGGCTGGATAAAAAAAGAAAAAGCTGTCGTCGCTCTAGACCTTACTTCATCATTTGATACAATTGACCTGGAGATATGGCTACTTACACTCGAGAAATATGTAGGTGTTAGAGAATTGGCAAAAATAAAATGATCACATCATACCTCAGTAGTAAAATACAACGTTTCAAGATAAATCAAGCTATATGGAAACTTCGCATCATTAAAACTGAGGTTCTACAAAGATCTTTGCTAGGACTGTTGCTCTTCACAGTCTATCTTTCGCCTATACGAACTGTATTTTTGAAAACTTGTTTGGACTATCAAATCTATGCAGATAACACCATGCTTTACTGTAGTCTATCCTCAGATGAGGGGAGTATTGACAAAATTCAAATCGACTTAAATAAATTTGTTGATTGGTTCGAAAACGTGAGTGTGAAAATTATTACAAGAAAAAAAAGAAAACAGAAATGATTGTTGAGAGAACAATTTTTTTAAAAAGCTAAAAAACACATGAAACTAGAAATTTGTCATCAACGGTTGCCATTTTGATTGTTTTTAAATCGCTGGGAATAATATTTGATCTACACATGAAAATGGCACAACAAATTCAACTGTTGTGCAGGAGCTGTTATTTTCAGTTGAGACAAATGGTTTCATCCGTAACAGTTTCAGTTTCTCCAACAGACATCTTCTGGTCCGAATGCTCATTCTCTCTTGGCTTGATTACTGCAACAGTTTGTACTCTGGGTTACCACAAAAACTAATCAAAAATTACAGATAGTTCAGAATGCGGCATGCAGATATATCTTCAAGATATCAAAATTTCTTAGCATGTCGCCATTTTTGCATGATCTACACTGGCTGCCCATCACTAAGCGTATTCATTTTAAGCTGATTACAAAAACTCATTTTTCAACTACCGGGTTTATTTCTATGTCAGAATAGATCAAAAACCTTTTAGCAAAAAATGATAAAAATTCAGCAACTAGACTGATCATTTCAAAAGTTTCAGCAAATTTTGGTAAATGTTCGCTCGCTGGAACAAAAGGTTGAACAGTCTACCAAATAAGCTGAAAATTAAATTTTCCCCAGAAATTTTTAAAAAATTTCTATAAGGTATATTTTTAAGCAGTCTCACTATTGTTCAAATATTTTCAGTGATGTTTCCTCGAAAAGAAACCATCATGAGAAGTTTTGACGCTAGAGGTGTTAGCGCCTTCAATATAAATTTCCCAAGAAGAAGGTTATTCTTCATCAATGACAACAACTCAATACAGTCAGAAAGATAGTCCACGCGGAACAATTGCGACAAAGTGCTGTGAAAAACGATTCAGCAAAATTTAGCATTTTATTTCAAAAACCTTGTGGTGATGGGTCAGACGCATAATTTGTTGGACATAAAAAACAACCAAATAATGACGAAAAATGAAGTTGTCGTAGAGTGAAATAACTAACTTGTAGGTATATGAAGTGTGGCATAAAAGTGGTTTTTATGGAATTGAGGTATGAGATTGAAGTATTGGACGAACGTATCGATAATGTATCATGAAGGGGCTGAACAAATGCAATGGACGTCTGGCAGAAGCATATGGACTCTTGTTCGAGAAAACCGCAATAAGATTCCGACGGGACATATCAGTCGATATCCTACATCCCAAACCAAAACGATAGCGCTTACGACCGCTTGCGCGAGATTTCCGAACGGCATTGAGAAAATTGTAGACTTTTCAAAAATTTTCGTTGTTACAAAAAGTTTGAAAAATTATTGTAGAGATGTTTTATAATATCGATTAATGAAGGCCGCTGTGGACTTTGTTCTTGAAACGAATAAAAATCTTAGCGCCGAAAGTTGCTTGAAATCTCTTGGCAACGCAAAATTCGAAACATTTTACGGAGGCCGCTTCTGTCACTGAAAGAAAACAGAAAAGACACGAAAATGGAAAAACAGGAAAAGGTGATGAATACGAACATTATGCAGGCCGCTTTAGGCTGCAACAAAAGTTTCAGGAAAATAACAAGTACTTCAACAATGAGAGGCAAACAGAATTATAACGGCACATTTTGAACCTTTGAACAAAAGAGGGTAGAAAACTACTGACTGATTGACTGACTGATTGATTCTAAGAGATCATTGCCATTCGATTTGATATCAGTATGCTTCTCTCGGCCAAGGAGCTAGTTTATGTCTTCGTACAATTTTTTCTAGAAAATTGCATCATAAACTAGTTGTCTAGAGATAATTTGCTTCAGTTTTTCAAGAGGCGACTGCGTATCATTGGTTATTTTCAATAACAATTATATACAGTTCCTTGACATACTTTTTATTTGTGATTTGCCGCGCGACATGAAGTATTGACGCTATCACTCGAATATTCCATTCGTGTTTCATCTGTAAAGCTATCAATTGTCTACGGGGAACAGTCATTTTACAATATATAATACTGCTCGGGTTTAGTAGCGTGTAAAAAATTTTGCGGGCCTGTTCTTTTAGTTCCGTCAACTTGATTTTCTGAGCTATCTGAAATTATTATAAAGTGCCTAATTTATCCAAATTTTTCAGCGCCACAGGCAAAAAGCGTTTTGAGGCACTTTTTGTAAAATTTTGGCCAATAATCGTGTTTTTTTGGCGCGCGCTCCCCCCTCAAAATTAGCATATATTGGCGCCCTAAGAAATATTTTGGGATCTGTCACCAAAAGTGATATCTCAAATTAGTAGAAATGGAGGACCCATTGGGTCAGCAGTGGGTCGAATCCCTAAGGGCACGGTAAGTTTTGCCGGCTAAAGCGCATGCCCAGGGCTTGCTTAGCCTGTGATATAGCACATTTTTTAATTCGCGGCATCAGAAAACAGTGATTACCATTATTTATTTTTCTTTTTGATGACTTTCCATCTGGGTTGAAAGAAACTTTTGAAGCCTTG